CCACCCATATTGACCCACATGACCCATCATATTGACATTTAACCACCCTCACCCATACTAGCCCACCTATCCTCACTTATAAATACAAAAATGGGTAGGGATGGCCCCGTACACACAAAATAATAAATTTTGAGGGAATAATCTCTCTCAAGATTGTCACGTGACAAAAACGAGTTAGGTCAACCCGTATACCTGAAAATGCAAAAATTGTAGATAAATGTAGAAATATGAAGAAAATTTATAGAAAATGCAAAAAAATACTAAAAAATTATAGAAAATTTGAAAATTTTGCAAAAAATCAGAAAATGTGCAAAACAATACCAGAAAATTGTAAAATTGCATAAAAGTACCAAAAAATGCAGAAAATAACAGAAAAATTGCAAAAGTTTTATAGAAGTACTTCTACAAAAGTACTTCTATAAAAGTGCTTTCGCAAAAGTACTTTCATAAAAACACTTATAAAAGCTCTTTTGTGTAAAAGTACTATTATAAAAGCGCTTTTGTGTAAAAGTACTTCTATAAAAGCACTTTTACAAAAGTGCTTTTATGCTTTCATAAATGTGCTTTCGTGTAAAAGTGCTTGTGTAAAAGTACTTTCATAAAAGTGTTTTCATAAAAGTACTTTTATAAAAGTACTTTTATGCTTTCATAAAAGTGTTTTCGTAGAAGTAATTTAATAAAAGTTATTTTGTGTAAAAGTACTTTTGTAAAAGTGCTTTCATAAAAGTGTTTTCGTAAAAGCACTTTCTTAAAGTGCTTTTGTAAAAGTATTTTTATAAAAGTATTTTTGTAAAAGTACTTTTATAAAAGTACTTTCGTGTAAAAGTACTTATGTAAAAGTGCTTTCATAAAATTTATTTTCATAAAATTTCTTTGTAAAATTGCTTTTGTAAAAGTTTTTTTGTATAAAATTGCATGTGAACACGAAAGGTAATAAAATCTATTTTATTTCGCTTTCATTAACATAATGTAATTTGGCATAGTGGTTTGGAAGTGTAATGAAATGTTTGCATGCTAGGAGATTTGTATTCGAATCACTATAGCTTCCTTTTTCTTGAGATTTGGCGAGTATAGATAGAATTGACTTTGACCCAACCCATCTTGACCTGTGCGACCCAACCCATCCTGACCCTAATGGGTACCCTTGACCCAACCCACCCTAACCCTTTTCCACTGACCCTAATGGGTTGCTCGACCCATATTGACCCATCAATAGATTGGGTGGGTTCCAAGATTGCCAGCCCTATTAGGTGTTTAGGTTGGAAACTAGAAATTCAAATGTTTTTCAGTTTATGCTATAATCACAGGCTGCAACAGTTACTAGTTTCATCTTTGGTAGATAACCTCTGATATACAAATGGAAACTCCTGCAGGGAAAAATTAAATTTTGGATGGTTGTTAAAGTGGCAACTTGGGTCTTTCAGGGTGGGAGGAGCTTCTAGAAGAGACTCAGGGCAGGCAATAGTGGTCTATTTGGGTCTCATAGGGGAAGGAAACTCTCTAAAAGTTGAAATTCTCTCTCTTACAAGATCCGAAAATTGTTTTCTCTTTGTGACTAAATTATCAGCTGCTCAAAAGATGCCTGTTAAGTTGTCATTGATATGGGAGTCATGATAGCTAATCTGTTATTCCTTCCAAGGTTCAAAGTAGCGACACATATCGGCCCGTATTGGCTGATATGTATCGTTTCGGGAGCTCCTTGATATGCCCCTACAGAGGGTGTATTGGGGTTCTGACCGGTTCAGGGGGTGGAGGAGCCTTAAACCGGCCCCCCTGAACCGGTTTTGGAAAAAAATAAAAAAATTAGTATCAATATCACCCGATACGCCCCTACCAGTGTATCGATATTTTGAACCTTGATTCCTTCTACATATTTGAACAGTAAGAGCATTGGCTACTAGGATGAACAGTTCAGTTCCTAGATTAAACAATGCACTTATGGATTCAATAGGTTGGGGGCTTAATTTGGTCTCATTCTATCGTTTTTTTTAGTATTTGGTTGGTCTCTGTATGTGTGTCAATAAGATATTTACTCTTTTACTCTATTTTATATGGTTTTGGATTACTGTTACAGTGTTACTAGGTCTGCGTCGGTCTTTTGGCCCATTTAGATCTTAAATACCATCTTCTAAGTATTATGGTTTCTTTTTGTCTTATGGTGGAGCCCCTGTTATTTTCTTATGGGTTTTGTTCCACAGGTACTTCCATTGGAAAGGTCAGTCGAAGTCCCAATACTTATATCTGTTGCCCAGTTTCGCCCAGAGAAGGTGCTAATTTATCACCTCATTATGAGTATCTGGTGTTGCGGTGGCTCATTCTTAGTGTTTTTTTTTTGTTAATATTACTAATCCTCTCAAACTTGGTTTTTGGTTTCTCAGAATCAACTCCTTCAACTTGAGGCATTCTCTATTGCCATCAGGAAAATGGATGCAGACTTGCCCAGACCAAGGCTCCAATTTGTGGGTAGTTGCCGGAATAAGGGGGATGAGGAAAGATTGCAAAAACTTAGAGACAAAGCTGTTGAATTGCAGGTGGTGAATGATGTGGAATTTCACAAGAACTTGATGTACAGGTGTTTCATAGATACCTATCTGTTTTGTTTTCTTTTTCTCAGTTATTTAGAGCTATTTTCTGTATGCATTCATAAAATTGTATAAACTGTATATTATGTATGGTTATCCAAAGGACTTCTATTGAATGGTGTGCACTACATTTTACAATTCTAAGTGGCCATGGACTTCCTAACTTGAAGAATCCAATATGTTTGGCTGCCTATTGGGTGGATCATGGACTAAAGGTCATGTCAATTGGAATTGTCCAATCAATAGCATTTATTTGGACTACAGAGATCTATTTGTGATTCACAAAAGTTTCATTCATCATTGGTTTGATCTGTTGGGATGCAGCAAGTCCCAGAAGTGGCTACTGACAGTATGGTTCAAAATCTGGATTAATGAAATAATGATAAAGAACTGTCTGGTCACATGTCCAATTAGCATCTTTCCTGAGTAGGAACTTTGTTGATGCATGATAGTGTTGCTATTTATTTATGGTTAAAGTCATTTAATTGGCTTGGCAAGGCATGCCTAGTGATTGAGTGGTCTAAAATCTGGATTGGTGAGTTGATGGAACATTTATTAGTTTTCCTGTTGTTTGCATGACAAAGCATTGTTTTTTTCTAGGACAAGAAAAACATGCCCTGTGTTATGTCTGTCTTTGTGCAATTGTGTAATTGATGTTGCTTCTGCATTTTGTTTCAGCTTTGTATACATGCAATATTTTAAGGGAAAAGGTGCGGGATTCATTACATGGGATAAAAAATTGAACCCGAAGGCTATACAGTGAGATGCTGTACATAGCATATGAGCAAGGATTTGCTGAACATGATGGCTGTTCAGCAGGCTGTGGAACCAATGGTAATGTTCCAGACCAATAATAAAATTCATGGGACCGTCATCTTTCACAGTGGGGCCCATGAATTTATTGCTGGTGTGGAACATTTTCGTTGCTCTTCTGCTGCAAACAAAAAAAACAAAAAGTACACTCTTTAGTTCACAAAATAGTCACTGGTAAACCTAGTAAGAAAAGATATATCTGTATATTGATTTAAAATAGATGGCCACGGATATACAAGTCCATCAGATCTTATAACATCAAGCTCCTGAGATGCTTTGCTGTTGAAGAGTAGAGAGTTTCTTTCTATCCAAATAGACTAGGTTAATAGCAGTTGGTAGCATTCTCTATATTGCCTTGCCTTTGCTTGTTAAGCCCCCAATCATCCAAGTTTCCATAACTTCAGAGTTTTGGGAAGGCCCAACACACATTTATAAATATTAGGAAGAAAGAACTGATTTTCCTACTAAATGAGCAAATGAATAAACAGGTATTGAGTAGATTCCTGACTATACTTGCACAGCTTACACCTAGGAGGGGGTAGTGCAATTCCTCTTTTTAGATTATTTTCCTTGGCAAGGCACCTGTTGAGACTTGAGAACAACAGTTTACAACATAAATGCAACTCTGGAAGGGCTCAAGGGATGGCTGGATTCCACCTGAACTTTGTGAGGAAGGAAATGGACCCTGATCTAGGTAATTTCTTAGCACAAGACCTGAGTGAGAATATCCACACTTTTGTCCATTTCCGACTCTTTGATCCATCTCACATGTGGATGGCTTGTGACTATATGTAGCACCAGTAAAGCCAACATTTCTTTGAAGGATTGGAGCCCAAATAATCTCATTGTTAAAATCCTATAGCAATTATCCATTGTGAGTCTGCAACCCCCTATGTTCTAAAAGCAAGAGACACAAGAAAAGCAGAAGGGCCTTCTAGAGCCTGATTCACTAGAAAAAATGTAAACCCAATTTTTTAGCCATGTTTATAAGGGGGTTAGTTTTATGATTTTGGTTGCAGTTATTATTTTCTATGGTTGGAGATAAGGGATTAGTTGTGTTGTTGCTTCTTTAGTGGAAATTTTGCCATCTAATATCCTATCCACAACAACTAGGGTTTTGGGTATTCAAGATGTCTTTTTTTTTTGTCTCCTTGAAAAGTTGGTAGACCATTACTAGTGCATTAGCATGAATAAAAGGTAATTTAGAAGTTAATGGACTACTACAAAGGTGTGAAACATAGAATGTATAAACAGTAACAAAAAGACAAACTCTTAAAAGGTGTATGCCTGGGCCGAGGTGCAAGGTGCACCAGGTGTGTGTGCCTTTTGAAAGGGACTACACTTAGGTTGAATAGAGGCACATCCGCACATGCCATAAAATGCATCTTTCCTGTGTACCTTTTAACTTACTTCCGTTACACCAATCTTCTAACCATAAAGAAATTTTAGATCCTTTTCCCACTTTGTATGAGATAGTAGATATAGAGTTTCATAATTTTTTCATTTCATTTCCACACTAATCACCCTACATGGTACTTAACAGACCCTGGATCCCAGCCCCGTTCTTGAGGCCGAAATTTCTCTTGTTTGGTAACCCTCCATCAACTCTACTGATCAGTACTTTTCCTCCAAAACGATTTAGATAGGAGGGCTGTGTTCATCCTTAGGAATGCACAGGGAATCCCAAGCATCTAGAAAAATCTTTTTTTTTTTCTCCTACCATCCATTCAAGAAAGAAATCCTTTGGCTTTCTCTAACTGAGCTGCGCTTTGACAAGGATGGGAAACAAGGAGAAAGAGTATGATGGGTAAGTTGGATATACTTTTAATGAAGGTTGTATGATAGTGAGGACTGTACCACTTACTGATTTCTTGTCCCTTTGCTGCAGCTCTGTGGGATTTTGTTTGGTTGTAGATGGAACTTGCCATCAGAAGTAAAATTGTTGTTTGTTGCCAACAAAAAGAGGGAGAAAACACAGGAGATGCTTCTGAGCAGCTACACTGTGGACTATTTAGGAAATGAATGCTAGAATCTTTCAAGACAAGGAGAGAACCCTTTTAGCAGTGAAGGGCTGTATATTAACTAGGGCTATACACTGGCTTTGAACCCTCAAATCCTTTATTTCCTTTGATGACATTTGGAGGAACTGGGCTGTAATAGCTTACACTTCTAAGGCAGATAGAACTGTAGCAGTTTGGACACCTCCTCTGGAAGGTTTTACTAAACTGAATTTTGATGGGAGCAGTCAAGGCAATTGGGGACTGTCAGGCATTGGAGGGGTCTTGAGAAATGAGGAGAGCAATATCATATCATTGTTTTCAAGCCTGGTGGAAATAGGTGATTCTACAAGGGCTGAGTTGTTGTCTGTGGTACAAGGAATTCAGATTGCCAACCAACTTGGGGTGGAGAAACTACTAATTGAAGGGACTCTAAGGTGATTGTGGGCTGGTTTTTGAATCCAGATTCAGTTATTTGGAGTTATAGAGATCTCATAAAAAAGTCAAAAGGTTATGAAGACATATGACAATTAGAGTCCAATGGGTGGGTAGGTCGGCAAATGCTTTCGCTGACTCTCTTGCTAAACAAAGGGCCTCTAGGGAAGTGCTATTTTGGGCAGCTTTGTAATATTTTTTCTTGCTTTTCCTGTAATGGTTAGGAGAGGTTGCACCTCATGCCCCTCCAAGGGATGCTTGTAATAGTTTATTTTCTTTGATTTATGAAGTTATCTTTCAATTATCAAAAAAGAAAAAAAAAGGTTGTGTGACCATGTCTTTTGCCTTTAATGTCAGACCCTTCACTAGTATTCTTATGAGAGAATGATGAGAACGTGGAAACAGTCCACCAGTGAGTGCAATATTTGAAGAGCGGAGGAAATGTGGAATATGTGCAGGATGGATCTATGGAGCTAATAATGAGTTGAATTCAGGACAACTCCTAGGTCAAAAGCAAACCTACATAAATGTTATTTTCAGATTTATTAATAGCCAAGTACTGAAATGCCTCCATCCAATTTGATAGATTGGATTTACTACAAGTTTTCAATGCTTTCATTTAGATGTGAGATGCCTGCAATTTAGTACCATTTTGATCTTGACCCCTTAATTAGGTTTAAATCAGTTTTGAGTCAGTTTGATTCTTTCAGCCCTTGTAGAGTTGTAGGCCATGTTGTTCTATGTTGTTTAAGTTGTTAGGTTCTTATATTATTTTGAAGTTTTATGCTGCTCAAATGATGATTGTGGGATGTCCATATGGAGTTCCAGTATTGATATTTTTTCTTATTAGTATTATTTTATTCATGTTTAGTTGTATGAATAAAATAATAACGTTAAGTTGATGCATTGTTATTTTGTTTTGACCATAGTGATTCTGAGTCATAACCGTTCTTCCAATATGGATTCTAAACCATGTTATTTTTTTATATAATCTTTCTGTGGTGAACTTGTACTGAATTCCTACCATGAGCAGGGACTTGGTAAAACTTTTAGGAGGTGCTATTGCAGGGATTCATTCCATGATAGATGAACACTTTGGTATAAGTGTTGTAGAGTACATGGCTGCAGGTGCAGTCCCAATTGGTGGGTATTGATGAATTATCACTCAATATGAGGTTCCCTTTCATTTCTTAGTAAACATAGCCACTTGTTACTGATATCATGTTTATTTTCTTTAGCTCATAATTCAGCAGGTCCAAGAATGGACATTGTTTTAAAAGAGGATGGACAGAAAACGGGATTTCTTGCCTGCAGTGTGGAAGAGTTTGCCGATGCCATCTTGAAGCTTTTAAGGATGCCAGAGGCAGAAAGACTTGTGATGGCTGCTGCTGCAAGGAAACGTGCAGATAGATTTTCAGAGAAAAGGTTTTATGAAGATTTCAAGACTGCAATTTGTCCAATTCTTTGTCATGCCAAATAAGGAAAAGAAAAGGAAATGTTGCAAGGTTTTATTGAAAGGTCATTTGGAATGGTATAATTTCCAACATATATGTGTGTTTTTTTTTCTTTGCCATAAACCCTGGAAGGTTAGAACAAAAAAAAAATAATAATAAAATAAAATAAAAAACTAAAAGTTTTGCCATGTCTGGCCAGGATAATTATATGAAGTTTTCCCTTGATGGGATAAAATTAATAGAATCACAGTTTTTCACATCATTCATTTGTATTGTGCAATGATCCTAAGACTTGCTCTTGCTTCTTGCTACCTTTCAAGATAAGTGGATAACATGGCGGTGTGAGATACTATGTTGGGATATCAAGTTATTAACTTCAATATTTGACATAATATTGGCTTCTTACTGGTTAATTCCTTGTTTAAGATAACAAATGAAGTAGGCAAAGTAGAAGTTGTAAACTTACATCCTGAATTCCTGATGAAGATAAAACTCTAAGCATGATATATAGACATGTGAATAGATCATAATTTCAGTGGCTGGAAAGGTTTTGCTGTCCTATTAGTATTAGTTAGGTGATCTCTTTAATAAATTTGATTTAATGTATGTAGGGATTTGTATTGGTTATGTTGATATAAGGATACCAATTTATTATTGTTGTTTTTTTCATCTCTTCAAATAAAAAGGCTCTATATCTTCTAAGAAAAAAAGGTCATCCTGTATCTATCCTGCTTCTCTTTTTAATATATATATATATATATTAAATGTTACCTTGTATTTCAAGATCTAGAAGCTATTCTAGAATGAGTTTTATAGGGTATATCTAAATAAAGCCACATTAACCATTGTTTGCCCCAGCTTCTGGGGTCTTGGGAGGGGTGTACTGCATATAGGCCTAACCATTGCCATTTTTTTTTGCACAAAGTGTGCTCATACTTGAACCCAGGTTCTCATGCTTGTCAGCGTGAGATTTTTCCATTACACCAAGCAATTACCTTTATGGAGTATATCACGCCCTCCTGTTTTTTGTGTTTTGCTGGACCTTTTATTGTACATTCTATCTTTACTTTCTCTTAATATACTTTTCCCTTTCTCAAAAAAAAAAAGGCTTTATTGGGGTTTCTATATATTAAAGTCATAGGCCTGGAATCCAGTCTAGCCTGGGCCGGCCCCCCATGTTCACCTTATTAGTTATTATAAACCATTCCCAAGTGAGAAATTGAAGAGTATGGAAATGGAAAAAAAAAAGTGTATTATCAGTCAAGTCTTGTGCTAAGAAATTGGCCAGATCATGGTCCATTTCCTTCCAAAGTTGGTGCAGACTCCAGCCATCTCTTCCAGAATTGCATTTATGTTGTGGTCCTCGTGGATTCTGTTCTCAACAAATTCTTTTCTAAGGAAAATATTCTTGAAAATCTTAATATCCCCGACTGGTGGGAGCTTTGCAAGAATAGCTGGGAATCTACTGAGCCCGCCTTTGTTCACTGTCCATTTGGTGGAAAAATCTGGTATTTCTTCCTGATAGCCCTGAATGTGCAGCGAGTCTTTCCTAGTTCTCCGAAGTTATGGAAAGTTGGATGCTTAGGGGTTTAACCAGTAATCAAGGTAATATGGAGAATGCTACTAACTACGATTATTTGCTCCGTCTCGATGGAAAGAAACTTCAAAGGTAAAGCATCCCAAGAGGATGAAATTAGAAGATCTGCTGGATTATTCTATTCTTAGCTATTTATTTGAATCAAGTCAAGGATGCATCATTTTTTTATTATGTTTACCAGTAACTGTTTTCTGAGCTAATGAGCATTCTTCTGTTTTTTGAGTTTGTGCAACAAAAAGAGTATCTGCATATGTTTATACAATCGTAGTGTCTCACTTTACAGCCTTTGGGCTCGTTTTTTTAAACCTTATAATGAATTCCTTACCTTACTCTTAAAAAATATTTGCTTATACATATACTGCCTGCATATAAAGCTGAAACAAAATGCAGAAGCATGCTCCTCAAGGTTCATATACACAATTAGGAAAAACGATGTTTTGAAGGCAGGGGCGTATCAGTACTTTTTTTTTTTTAATTTTTTTCAAATCCGATTCAGGGGGCCAGTTTAAGGTTTCTTCTCCCCTTAAACCGGTTTAAGGTTTCTTGATTCGAATACGATCTGATCCGTTTCCATCCCTAATTTCCCTCTCCATTGTGGTTGGTTGCATCCAATTCCATTATCAACGTATTCAACCCCAAAGAAACTGCAATGATTAGGTCCGAGAGAACGGCAAGGCATTGCTCTTCTACCGCCAGGGAGCACTTTGGCCTAATCATGCCTCATAGGGAGGATTCTCTTCCAAGGCTCGATTTAAAAAGAGTATAAATACAAATATGTATGATGCAAATACACACAAAATGTAAGGTTTTGCACTCAACAAATACAAATATGTACAGTTCCAAAACTTGCTGAGCCTAATGGTTCTTAAAGACAATGCCAAGCCCGGCATACCTCTCTTCTTGGGGCCCAAGATGTGTTCAAGTTTAGCTTGATCTAATGAGACCAAATCAGCCCCCCACAATGTCCCACAGTACATCCCCGCCGTGTATTGGAAACGTCTCTCGATGATAATCCTAGAAATGATAATGTCATCATCAGGAGATATTTCCAGTACACGGCGGGGATGTGCTGTGGGACTTTGTGGGGAGCTGATTTGAACTCGATCTAATCTCTAGGCGATTAGCATAACGTGCTAAGCAGTGGCAATCACATTTACTAAGACACCTCCTATACTTCATTGTATTAACTAAAACACCCCTCTACTTTGGTTTAGTTAATCAAACCTCCATCAAGAACTATTTTGTATATTTGTTTGAGAAGAGTTACATGACCTCTTAAAATGCTTTTATTTTTTTTATTCTGAAAATACTCCTGAAATAAGTCTCATCATCCCCCTAAATTAGTACACGGCCTGCATTATGAAGAAGTCAAGGATCCTTTCCTATGTATACATGAATATGATTATGGTGAAGATGGAAAAGCCATGGTCATAACACGCTCTCTTTTATCTTTATAATAATTAATAACGATGATTTCATTACCTTTTGGTAAACTCACCCGAGAATATTGCGTTAGAGCAAAAAAGGGGTGGTGCGGGAGATGCAGAGATGGAGGAAAGTGTTTATCTCAAATCAATGTGGAGTCAGGCACCAAAAGTGGTATTTTTGAAAGTCCGCATATGATACAGCCCCTGTTCATTTTTGGTAAGTTATTTATCCGGGTAAATGCAATTATCTGGGCAAATTTTTCCTGATAAACATTTACCCGGGTAAGTGCATATCTATGTTCTTTTATTTCCTAAATAAATAAGGTAATAACCATTTTAACCATAAAAATCCATTATTAAAAGGGACAATTTTGTCCCATTCAAGTGCTAGCAATTTAGGGGGAAAGGTATTTATCCAACTAGGAGATGGGTATTACTTACCCGGGTAAGTGGTACCCATGAAAATCAACTTTCCCTGATCCCCACATAAATCTGAAAAATGAACATGGGATTCTTGGTCAATGGGACCTAAAATCCCACTGACCAACTTTCCTTCCTCTCAAAATCCCAAAAAAAGAACGCTCCCTTAAAGGAAAGGTTGGGGTGGGCTGCAAGAGGGGATTTCAAATCTTGAATTTCAGTTTGACTTCTGAGAGGGCAAGGGAGTCTTTAGAGGACAAGGCAAGTGTTAACAAAAACTCTTGAAGGCTAGGAGGCAAAAGGTGTCTACATCTCCTCCGGAGATCCCTAATTTTATGGGGGAACTTTTCTCTTCTAGAAAATTCCTTTTTGAGTTTGTTATCAAATATTTTAGTTTGTCCCATTTTCTGAAAAGTTTGTTCTCGAGTTTGTTACAAAATAATTAAGCTTATGTCATCTATACCATTTAGGGTTTTGCCACGTGTTCATTCGATTACCTCAGCATTTGGGCTCTTACCCTTTCCCAATGGTGCATGTGAGGACATGAGTAGTTACGACCCTTTTTGAATCCTTAAGGAGATTGTGATGAAGAGCTAAGCACAATGGGTAATAAGATGAGAACATGATAAAGTTATGGAGCATGTGATGAGAATGCGATGCAATGGGTTTTACTTGTGCTTGGGTGTTTATTGTGCTAGTCGTATATTTCAAGAATGGCGATGGCCAATTCTATGTATGATTGCTTCTCCTCTCTCCCTCTTCAATCCTCTAAAGACCCCTAAATTCTAAAACTAACCTTTCGTTCCTTCAATCTCTCCACTTCAACTAGAAAATCCACTTCTCCAATTCCCAATTTTTCTCTAGGATTAATTATCAATTTTGATAGCTAAACCACAAACAATGCCAAAAGATCCACCACTTTCTTTGCCACCAAAGGTGGCATCTCAAACCCATAATCCCTCCTATTTATCGAAAAAGTTCATAGCAAGACCATCCTTGTCAAACATAGGGGCTTGATTGATGTTGTCTTAGTTGAGGTGGACGAGTAGCAAATGAGTTGTTTCGGTGAATTAGACAAGTTGTGCTGCTTCAACATGGTTTTTAAAACCGGATCAGACCGGATAGTTGGACTGGAAAAACTGGGAACCGGTAAGGTGACCGGTTCTGGTTTCCCCAAAATCGGATTTTCTTCAAAAATCATTGATTTTGATTTGCAAACCGCTGACTCGAATGGTTAATCATTCGAATGGTTTTGACCGTTTTTTATTTGCTTATTTTTTTGTCAGAATGGACCGTTCGTTCAATTCAAACAGTCGGACCGTTCGACCTGGTAACCAGACCCCTAACCGGTTCAATCTTCAGATCGGTTTTAAAAACCATGACTTCAACAACCTTACCACACAAAACTTCAGACGCCCCAAGTCGCTTCCTGGAGCGGAGCATGGAGCGGAGCATTCTAACACTCAAGTTTATAAAGTGAGAAGATTAGTGAGGCCGAGTTGATTAAGATGAGCTAGACTTGGCCATACAAGCACAAGAGCTTCATAGAGCAAAGTGTACTTAAGAGAGCTTGGTAGCGAAAAGTGCGAAGGTCTTACCTTAGTTGCATGCCCTCAGATAGGTGCTTGTGCAAGTCCTTTTACTCCTCGTTTAGAGGTATAAAGTATAATGTGGGTCATGCCAGGCTAGCATGACCCACTTTTGCAAGCTGCCCATATTGTAGCTTAGGCAAGACGATCCATTGAAGACGGGACGAAGGGAGGATAAGAGCCGTTACACCAACCTTGATAGTTGGATGGGATTGGGGGTGCAACTTGGACGG